GGAGAGGGAAAGAGATGAATGGAAAGGCAGTTTAGAAAGAATATGTATAAGGGAAAAGTGGGTGGTGCACTTAACATTATCCTCACCTGTCACCGGATATCTCAACCCCCCCTCACACACACACACCATATTTTTTTTTACACAGCTGCAAATTGGAACCAGAATACAACGTGTTCAAATTAGCCGTGTAATAGGGTTGGTGTCATTTCTTATAAATTTCCAGTTTGTGTGTGTGTGTGTGTGTGTGTGTGTGTGTGTGTGTGTGTGTGTGTGTGTGTGTGTGTGTGTGTGTGTGTGTGTGTGTGTGTGTGTCTCAACGTCGACAAGGCTGTTTTTTACCCGTCCCAGAGTGGTTTTTCTCTGGTTATTACTGTAATCAGCGTAGGATGGACATGGATATTAATGCCCTTTGGTGGTCGACGCTGTGATTGCTGGCCCAAGTTGTGACCACCGGTGGCCATGTCTGAGTAATAGTAACCCAGGCACCCTAGCATAAGGAACAATATTTGACTTGGGATCGTCAAATGCTGGTGCTTGGCCGAAAATTGAAGTTTTTTCTTTTGCTCTTAAACATAATGTAAACCTGAGGTAACTACAGCAGGTGTGTGAGTCTGACTATCGTATATATCAAGTCGTCTTGTTATCGCACATCAGTTGTCACGCTATCTTCCCTCAGCTGTCACGTAAGGGAGAATGTGAGGCAAGAATTGTTATTATTCTCTTGTCTGTCTCTTCCATCACTGGGATCTGAAAAGACACCCACCGTAGCCAGGTAATTCATCACCATCTTGGTGTGATATTTTGCTCATCATACCAGAGTATATCTCTCCAGTTAATCTGCTGCCAGTTAAATTGATTCTCTGTCTATCAGTCTCTCTCTCTCTCTCTCTCTCTCTCTCTCTCTCTCTCTCTCTCTCTCTCTCTCTCTCTCTCTCTCTCTCTCTCTCTCTCTCTCTCTCTCTCTCTCTCTCTCTCTCTCTCTCTCTCTCTCTCTCTCTCTCTCTCTCTCTCTGAAGTTGCAGCTGTTGTGCTCAGATTATATCCATTTACCTGTTGCACAGGAGGTCGCGAGCCTGAACCATTTGTCGAACAGCAGACGAAGATAGGAATAGCTTGTGCACCTTCAGCACAGGAGACGAGTCACTCATGAACTGTTTGTCAAACAAGTGTGTGTGTGTGTGTGTGTGTGTGTGTGTGGGTATGGCTGTGTGTATGTTCGTTAATAAATGACAATTTGATTATTTAATAATTAATTATTATCAACCAATTGAATACAAATGTGAAAAAAAACACTGAATTATTATCTTTTTAGTGAGCTGTTGCCTCGTGATGTTGTCTGCGAGATTTAGATGAGTTAAATATGCTAATCTCTCTATGACCATCAAGATAACAAAATATTATCCAGGCCACAAGATACGACAAAGTCTTACGCAGTAGGCCACCAAGAACGACAATATCTTACGCAACAGGATATACCAAAAAAATATACAAAATGCAAAAACCAATATACAACAAAATCTTATACAACAGACCAACAAGACACAACCAACAGAGAGAGAAAAAAACCCGCACATATTTACAAATTATTTACAGGATAAAACAAAAACATTAGTTGTTATGGCTGAGCGTCTCGTGTAAGTGTGACCATTGCAGCCCCACCACCACAACAGCCTGCCTGTTTATACTAAATATATTGGCTTTTGTTGGGTAAAATATTTAGCCTTCCTCTTATACACACCAACCAGCTCTTTGCTTGATAATTTGCTCATTGCATATATAATCACAGAGCAACATTGCAGGAGAGGCCCCTTGCAGTTTTTGCCCTATCAACCACAGCGTAAAATTTCCGGCGTTTTAGGAAAATTATAAACGTATTATTATAGACGCTTCCTCGGATTCAATAAGCATCGGCATCGTTAGATTCGGTGAGTTGGCGAAGGGTCAAATGGTTTTCTGGTAAGGTAAATCCACTTCATATTTGTCACTTGTCAGTTTGTGATTAATCAATCTGATTCACCTTCGAATGGAGCACCTGACATGCAGACTAACACTACATTCTGACATTCAGTTGTCACTAAGTTTACTTTCAGACTAAACTCAGACTCAGCTTATTGTCTGACTGTACTATCAGAATATGCTGTCACTCCGACTAAGATGCTAATGAAACCTCACTGATTTTGATTCAAAAGTCTGATTTTGTTCAGACTTTTGAAGCAAGTGGTGCTTTTATTCAACTATTTACAGCTACAAAAATAAGTGATAATAGAGGTTTAAAAAAGTGTTATAATTCTGCCCAATTGATCATAGTACTCAACGATTGTCGAAACTATTCTGGCAAAATTTTTCATTTGAAAAACTCGAACCATTATTCATTGTTCATTGTTTATCTATGATAAACACTGAACAGCTGATTAGATATAATAGTGAGGTGAAGACTAATAGGCATCCTGTAGCTTATTTGTCCTTATGATCATGCGTTCTTATATATGCATGCAAACACAGGGAGAATAACTATTGTGCACTTCTGCAAAAATGGTCTAAAAAAAAAAATGGCCGCTAGAGTTCAACCCAGCAAAATGCAAAGTCATGAGGATTGGAACAGGAATGTGAGGACCAGTACAGCAGCACAGGATGAAGGGACAAAGTCTCTTTAATTAGTAAGGAGAAATACCTAGAAGTAAACAAAATATTCTGATACCAGAAGCCAGCATTACCAGTATAACATCAGCTGCATATGACATATTGGCTAACGTCAGTGTGTCCTTTGGAAAATTGGACAAAGGGAGGCTTTCTGGGCCCTATATACAACAAACGTGAGACCCACTCTTGAATATGCATCCCCAGCATGGAATCCCCACCCGAAAAAAAAGGAACACGGAGAAACTAGGAAATGTCCAAAGATATGCAATGAGACTCGTTCCTGAGCTGAAGGACTTAAGCTTTGAGGAAAGACTGAGAGAACTGGACCATAACACAATGGAGGTAAGGAGAGATAGAGGAGATATGATAATAACGTATTATATTTTAGGGTAAATTAATAAATTAGACATGACAGCATTGTTCATAGCTAGGAACAGCAGAACGAGTGGACATGGATGGAAGTTCTAGATACAAAAACGTCGTCGTTCCTTCAATTTCTAGTGTGGGTCTGGTCAACATTTCTTCAGTTATAATGAAAGTTCTGGATGCGTTATCGGGACGTCATTGAAGCTAATTCTACTCTGAGTTTTATATGTAAGCATGATAAAAGCGTGAGAAAGGAGTCATTGCATTAAACTAAGAAGGCTTGGAAGGCGGGGCTAGGAGCCTAACTCGACCCTGCAAGCACATCTAGGTGAGCACACACACACACACACACACACACACACACACACACACACACACACACACACACACACACACACACACACACAGTTTCAAGTATAGATATGATAGAGCCCAATAGGCACAGGAACCTATACACCAGTTGATTAACAGTTGAGAGGCGGGACCAAAGAGACAGAGCTCAACCCCTACAAGCACAAATAGGTGAGTACAAATAGCCGAGTACACACACACGCCGTCATTCCTTCTCCCCCGAATTACAGGTATCTTTTTTTTTTTTTATAGGTGAGCGGAATTACAGGTGCTGTCAGTCAGGCAGTCGGCAGCGAGCAGCTCCTGAGGCCAGACCGACGCTACGATGGCTGCCTCAGATGATTGTAAAGTGTGCGAGAGCTAAAAAAAAAAAATTCTTCTTCACAGGCAAATTGATAGGTAAACTAATATTTGGGGAGGAAGGTAGATATTGCGAGGGAGGGGGGAAGGGTATCTGGGGAGGGAATGATGATAACGATGATTGTCAGATAAGATACGGTGATAAATATTCTGCTGTTGATCTCTACCTGAAGGTCTTCACTAAGTGGCATAAGTTTCCGGATGACTCCAAAATCCGCTCTGACTATTGCGCTTGAGACGGATTGTTTATATATTTGATTAGGCAGGCGACGAGTCACAATAACGTGGCTGAAGTATGTTGACCAGACCACACACTAGAAAGTGTAGGGACGACGATGACGTTTCGATTGTGCACAATCGACTTGAGAATGGTCCAAGACGGACCGAAACGTCGTCGTTCCTTCACTTTCTAGTGTGTGGTCTGGTCAACATATTTGATTAGGTATGACATATTTGGCTATGATCAATGTACTACGTACTTTACGCTATATCTTAAAAGCTATTAATGAACTCTGAGGATAGTACTCAATTGAACATAATCTGAAAGTAACTCAATTGGTGCTAATGTTCCACTGGCCAGAGTGGTACTTTGGTACCAATTCCAATTTCCATCCCACTTATTGTGGAATTTCAACGATCTATTACTCCTCATCCCTCAAACTTGGGCCAATGACTGCACGCTAAACTTTAGATATGGAAAGGAAGAAATGCCAACTGCTACGAGGGTCATTAATTAAAAATTGGCTACAATATATACCTGGAGATGGCAATATCATTTAACATCTACAGGTGAGAAAACAAAGACTTTGATGATAGGAACATTGCATGATATTGCAACTGGGACAGGTATGCCTAGTCTTCATTGATCACGTTGACATTTGGGAATAAAGTTTGGCTTTTTATTGACACTTATGAGTCGCTGAACCTATAAAACAAGGCAGCCAAGAAAATGACACAGACGCATCTCAAGACATGATATCAGCGGGTTTTCGACCGCAACTTTCTTGACAGCAGAGGTTGCAAAATCTTATATGAAGATCTCTTCCCTCTAGAATATGCCCCGTTCTCCAGTACACCAGAACAATCAACTCATGAGAGATGTGAGTGTGGCCTTATTCTCCTGTACACAATACTTGGTCTCAACATTACCCATTCTGGTCAAATTTCGTGGACATCCACAAGTACGCAGTCATAATGCTAGGCAATACTAAAGGCACTATATGCCTTTAATAATCTAATACTGACTGTGCAACTCTCAAGCACAACACTCCATCAGCGATCAGTTATTCATATTCGGCCTGCACAACATTCTCTGTTGTGGCTTGTAGGCCATTCTCGGTTGTGGCTTGTAGTCTATTCTCGGTTGTGGCTTGTAGTCTATTCTCGGTTGTGGCTTGTAGGCCATTCTCGGTTGTGGCTTGTAGGCCATTCTCGGTTGTGGCTTGTAGGCCATTTTCAGTTGTGGCTTGTAGGCCATTTTCAGTTGTGGCTTGTTGACCATTCTCGGTTGTGGCTTGTAGGCCATTCTCGGTTGTGGCTTGTAGGCCATTTTCAGTTGTGGCTTGTAGGCCATTTTCAGTTGTGGCTTGTTGACCATTCTCGGTTGTGGCTTGTTGACCATTCTCGGTTGTGGCTTGTAGACCATTCTCGGTTGTGGCTTGTAGACCATTCTCGGTTGTGGCTTGTTGACCATTCTCGGTTGTGGCTTGTTGACCATTCTCTATCATAGCTGGTGCAGTGTTTTACGTCATGTCCTTCCCATCCTTCTCTGTCCTGGCCTGCACACACACACACACCTCTATCCTGACCTGTACACCCTTCTATCCCCTGACCTGCTCAATCCTCCGTCATCCTGACCTGCGCGCCCTTCTCTAACCCAGACCGGAACACCCCTGGGGTAGCAATGTCCTTCCTGAGGAAGAGTGAAAATGGGCGGTTACAACCTCGCAAATGAAGTCATTCATAAATACATAATTTGACAATTATATCCAAAGTCTTACGTCTCTTAATAATACCTTTTGTATCCTGCTACGCTTGTTTATAGCCTCGAAGAGTATTATTTTCTCGTTAACGTTTCGTAATTATTTCTCTCATTTAATAATATGTTCCCAAAGTGAAGACTTTTTTCACTCACTTAAAACAGTAAATAATTATCAAAAGACAGAAGGTAAGACCGGAAATCTATTAAGCACACGCACAAGTAAACATGCTAAGCTGATTAATAGTTTTTTGTTAATGTTGCTAGTCTATTACATTAGTTTAAATGACGTCCAATGCAAAACCGAGTCAGTAAAATTGCATTCCTTAATTTCTCTCTCTATCAGTCATGTTTATTTGTCGTTCCAAGCAAGAAAAACAGTAACTGGGTTGTATATATAGAGTTAAGCAATTATATCACTTATGTGTTATGAAATAAAACAAGGTAAAATGATGTGATAAACATATAAATGTTTTATATGTATATAAAATATATTTTATATTTATATTTTTATATTTATATATAAAAATTTATATTTATTTTATATTTATAGTTTTATATTTATATAAAAATATAAAGTGTTTTATAATGAGCCTTCAGATCCGTCTGTAAAGAGAAGTCTCTCACCCGCACCAAGGTGAGATACTGCACGATATCTATGAATCTCTGGCGATATAGACGTTGCACAATGAAATCACTATTGCGTGATATATTCATAAAAAAATCTTTGGAATAGTGGAATGGGATCGAGCTCGCGTCCGGGAAGGTCCCTTGCCCCCCCACACCGGAAGACGAATAATGCACCTAATGGTCTGCCTGACTACGACCACCACTAATTAAATTACATTGTTTTTCCTTGAGATGTTGATTTTTTCCCCCATTCCGTGAACTTGGAGTAATAATTCTATTTCGCGTTATCAGTTTAGTGGCCAGTCCGTTCGCGTGACTTGTCAAGCAACAAATCTGTACCGGTTATGGCCTAACCAAAGGCCTAACTTACCTACACAACCCCCCTAACCATCGAACTCGTTTGGCTCAATACTTCGAGGACGAAAAGACAGTAAAAATCGTCGAGAATTTAATGTGAGGAAAAGTACATGATCATCCACCTAACAGACTGCTTGAACATTAAATTAGACGTCACATTGAAAACATCAAAAACACCTGTCCACTTTTTATTCATATTCCAGCAATAAATATCATATGAATGATCTAAATAACAAAAACAAATTCTCTAATAGCTGTTGTTTTATCCAAATCTCATATCTGTATATAAGTGACGTACCAAAAGACCACAAAAGCATAAACACGTCAAAAGAAAAATAAATGACCTCAAAATGCAATTTGTGGTCCATCTTTACAAGGTGAATGCAGTACAAACGACGATGAATCTACCTGTGGCTCACCTAATGGGCTATCGCGGCTGGCATCCGCTTTTCACCGTCGTTAAGCGAGGAGGAGAATTACCCACTGGACTTAGCGCAGGTAACGGCTGGACACAATTGCATCTCTAGGTTATCCATTGGACTAAGCGCAGGTAACCGCCGGACACAATCACGTCTCTCCGTCTCATGCTGAGATAATATTCTGAATTATTTATTATTACAAATAATTATTCCAAGTAAGTAAATGAACACAGCGATCAGTTGGTAGAGGAAACTGGCCATTTACTAAACCGGTTCCCCATTCCGCCCCCCTTGTCATAATTGACAAGTTAAGGTGTGATGTAGCAGCGCCCTCTTTAGTCTACCGGTGAGAATGACTGTTGTGAAGAAAGGGTGACAAGTTAGAATTTAGTCCACCTTCATATAATACAAATAACGCGGTGGTGATAAAGTGTGGGAAACGTTAAAAGAGACGCAGGCGATGAGTTACAATAATGTGGCTAAAGTATGTTGACCAGACCACACACTAGAGGGTGAAGGGACGACGACGTTTCGGTCCGTCCTGGACCATTCTCAAGTCGATTGTCAAGTTAAAACAGACCCTCATGCTTCAGCTTTCAAGACCTTCGAAGGACCCCCCATAAGCCAGTCTCACCTTTCAGACCTTCGAAGGACCCCCATAAGCCAGTCTCACCTTTCAGACCTTCGAAGGACCCCCCTAAGCCAGACTCACCTTTCAGACCTTCGAAGGACCCCCCTAAGCCAGACTCACCTTTCAGACCTTCGAAGGACCCCCATAAGCCGGTCTCACCTTTCAGACCTTCGAAGGACCCCCATAAGCCAGTCTCACCTTTCAGACCTTCGAAGGACCCCCCTAAGCCAGACTCACCTTTCAGACCTTCGAAGGACCCCCCTAAGCCAGACTCACCTTTCAGACCTTCGAAGGACCCCCATAAGCCAGTGTCACCTTTCAGACCTTCGAAGGGCTCTCCCCTCCATAAGCCAGTCTCACCTCTCATAATCAACACACCTCTCAGGAGTGGATATTCTCGAGACCTTGCAGGATCTCTGTGGGCGAGGCTCATGGTCCCCCTCTAATATCCTCCAACTCGCCCTTCAAATCTATATTCTTGGCACACAACTCATCCACCAATTGGGTTGCAACCAGGTCTACTATTCTCTAACTCAGTCCATCACACAGCCAGTTACTCTTCCGTGTTTCTCAAAGTTAATGCAGCAGCATGAGGTATGTGAAGGTAATTCATTCCTTCATCTACGTCATATACAATCGATCAATAGTGATGGTTCAAGAGTTTTAGTGATATTGTCCTCTATATTGTGGGTTACATTTTCTAACGCCTTCTCGTTCATCGTAAAGTTCCCCTACAACGTTCATTATAAATATGAACAGCACTGTTCAAACTGTGAACAAGCACTGGTGATCATTCATATTCAAATATCCCCATAAAAGAAGTAGTAGCGGTTGAGTGTTTGAAGTGTATAGTTAGACATTTACATGTACTAGATGGTCTACCCGGTGGTGCCCGGGTGCTCCCTCTCCCCCCCCTCTCTCTCTCTCTCTCTCTCTCTCTCCTCTCTCTCTCTCTCTTCTCTCTCCTCTCTCTCTCTCTCCTCTCTTCTCTCTCTCTCTCTCTCTCTCCTCTCTCTCTCTCTCTCTCTCTCTCTCTCTCTCTCTCTCTTACTCTCTCTCTCTCTCTCTCTCTCCAACATACAGCTATCTCATAGAACCTTCCCACACCCAGCAGGTCTTCCCTTCAACAGCAACTGATTCACTCGAACTCTGAGACTTCTGAGATGTACCTCAGAAAACTCCAAGACTTAGAACACTCTGGTTTTAAGACTTGTAAATAACTAAGACCTTTCTACCGTGTGTAGACAGACAGACATTCTATTGTCTGTCTGTCTGTCTGTCTGTCTGTCTCTCTCTCTCTCTCTCTCTCTCTCTCTCTCTCTCTTCTCTCTCTCTCCTCTTCTCTCTTCTCCCTCTCTCTCTCTCCTCTCTCTCTCTCCTCTCTCTCTCTCTCTCTCTCTAACATTTAAAATTAATGTAAATTAGGGGCTGTCGACTGAAGTAACTAGTAAAACTGCAAGCAAGATCTGTTATCCTACCTCAGCTTGTTTGAAATCTGCTAGAAACTCAATTTCGACGCTGAATCGTTGAAACGCCGAATTTCGACGATTAAATCGACGTTGATATCACGTCAATAACAGCCTTAAAATCTATTTTAACATTCAATGGACAATCAAACCCACATTTTATAATTCATTAAAGTCGATGGAATTCTGAAAGAACTCGATCCGTCTTAAATAAGGGGCATTGGGGGGACGAGCCAAACAATCCCATGACACTCGCTATACAATCCCAAATCAGCATGCAAAATTTCGTGAGGCTAGCCCTGAATGTCTGGCATCCCACCCTAGAGAAACCGATGAACATCTAAGTTTACACATACAGAAAGACGAGTTTAGGTGGATGTAAATACAAGCTGCCTTGTATAGGGGGGGGGGGCCAAAATAGGTCCCTCATTCAGTTTCTTTTATTGTTATGTTTTTGTTTTCTTACTATTGTTTGTGTGTTTGTATGTCTGTAGCTGATGGCAATTCCGCCGTTGTTGATAGAGCGTAATTACACGTTCCAACTTCAAGATTATATGTTACGTCAAGCACTCAGTCGTCAATCAGTGTTCGATCCTCCTTCCCACCCTCAGGTGATGTCACCACACAAAGCTGCTGCTAAAGAGACTGGAGAATATATATATATATATATATATATATATATATATATATATATATATATGTATATATATATATATATTATATATATAATATATATATAATATATATATATATATGTAGTATATATATATATAAATAAATATAATATAATATTATTATATTAACATATTATATATAATATAACGTTATTATATATAATATAACGACAACCTATGATAACCATCTTTGTAACCCATATGTAACTCCTTTTTTGTAACAAAGTTCAAATAAAATAAAGTAAATATATATGTGTACATACAAAAGAATGGGGGTGGTAGGAGAAGATAATATTAGTGTTCAGTGAGAAACCACAAGGTCTTCTCTGAATACTTTTTATTTTCTTCTCCGAGGCTATGGGTCCCCACATTGGCACCAGAGGTGGTACCCTCACAAACTTAAAAAAAAAAAATATATATATTATATATATATTGCGGACAATCCAATGCTGCAGTAGAGATTCGAGTAAATGATTCTTTTAATTTAAAGATATTAGAATAGATAAAATCACATGTAGTCAAAAGTAGAAGAGTTTTTTTGGCTAAGCGAATAAGACATTAATGCACTGATG